CTACCCTATTTACCATCCTTATCAGCTTAACTTGGTGGTAATCTAGACCTAATGTTTTTCATGCTGATGTTCAAGACATCAGTGTCAGAATAAAGGAATTTCACCTTATCCAGTGCAAAATCAAAAGCATTGAAGACACTTTCCCTAGCAAACTTAGTCTATAGGTAGTAGTACATCTTAGATGCCATAAACTCTTTCACCACTTATTCTTTAGCCTCTTCTTTAGCCTTTCTTTCAACCTCGAGCTTCAATCTCAGTCTTACAATTTCAGTCTGGGCCTAATCAAGCTTTTGGTCAAATTGTTGTTTAAAAGATTCAGCCTAAGCCTTCTGAATTTATGCATCTTTAAGTCAAAAATAAAATCATCACATTTTTTTAAGCTTTTCCTTCTCATGTGCAAGCTAAAAATTTTTTGCTTTTAACTTATGAATGACACCATTGTTCTTATAAATATCCTGAGCATATTTCCTTAGGTTTTGCTTAATTTTATGGTAGTAAACTAGAGTTCGATAAGCATTGAACAGACCTTGGTTCTTCAATTAAAAAAGATTATGAGACTTTTAAACACTACAAAAAAAATCAAGCTTAGACTTAAGCAAATAATGAAATACATAAAGTAAGGTAAAAATTGAGCTAGAAAACATACCTTTTTTAAGGACTACAATCCTTATGAATTTTTTGACTACCTTAGGGTCTTTAAAAAAGTTTTCATTAAAGTTATATTCTAAGCTAACAAAGAAATGCTCCAAAAAAGGTTGAAGCTCAGACACTATTGTTTTAAAGAAGGAGGCCTTGGTCTTTTGCCTTTTTAAAAGAGGGGCTCCTAACCTATTGTCACTTTCTGCAGAAGAGGCCTAAGCTAAGAAGCTCGATGGCTAAAAAATAATTGGATATATTATTTTGATATCTCTCTTCAAAAGGCTTTAAGCTAAACCCATTTGTTCTTTCTTTTCTTTAGCCTTGGTGCATATGTGAACGGAGTAAAGTTAATCTTCTTCAAAGGTTTGACAGTGTCAAACATATCTACAAGATGAGCTAAATGTTAAAAAAAATTTACAAAAGTAAATGCTTTATGAGGTTGCTGTAGACTTACCCCAATATTTGGTTTCCTTGACTACATCAAAGGAGGTTAACTTATAGGTATCAATAATCAACTCTTTTTTATGTGTGAACTCTAAAATTTTATCTTGAGCATTCAGGTCAACAACTATAAAAAGAATGGGATCATCTTAAAAAATATGGAGCTTATATATTGTCTTTCACACCCGAACTTCCCATAATCATCCCTCTTCTTAATGTAGAGGAAAAGTAGCTTTCAATTTTTTATTAAGCTTAGACAATCTAAAAAGATTTTCTTTGCTAGCCAAGTTATAACGTAAAACCAGCTCTTATCATAGAGGTGCTTTTTGATTATAAAAATATTTTAAATAAAGAGACAGTTAAAAAAATATCTAAATTTATACAAAAGATAGTAAAAGCTATTATGTATCAAAAAAAATTTTGAGTGAGCTAAGTGATAATCAAGTTGTAAGAATTAAAAAGTTCAATAATGAAAAAATGTAAAAAGAACCTTAGACCAGCCATTATGGAATCTCAATACCCTAGATATGGTGATCATGTAAATGAGAACTAACTCGGTCCTCAGCAGTCGGTATCGATACATTATATCTTTTTTTAGAAGGTCAAAGTTGACCTTCAAAGATCACACATAATGTACAAAACACATGTTAGTGTAGTCTTCAAGATTGACCATGTCCTTCAAGTTTTTCATTACATTCTTAGAAACTAAACCTAAGCTACAAGAAGATTAAAAAAGAATATAAGCTAAGGCCTCTAAATTTAAAGAGAACTCTTCTTCTTCTTCATCGTCCTCCTCAACCTAGTTGGACCTTTCTTTTCACTTCTTATTGAAATTCAAATCAACCTTAGAATCTTTATTTGAAAAAAAACTTAAATTTTATAGGAGTAAAATTTTACGCCCGTGCAATAGCTAAGACCACCATGACATCAAAAGAAGAAGAACAAATAAATCTCTTATACAATGAAGAAAAATAAAAAATAAGAATTGAAATTAATTTAAAAGGCTGGTAGGAAGAAGTAGAAGGAATGAAAAAAAGTTTTAAATGAGGAGAAAGAACAGAAGAAGAAAAAGAAAAGGTCAGCCAGAGGAGTCAGAGTAACCTTAGACATTGGAGCTGTAAGCTTTTCAAGCTCAAAGTTAATTATAGTAGCCAAAAGCTCCTCTACCCTATCATGGACCCGTTTTCTCATGACATGAGCATTATCCTTAACTTGTTTTTGGTTTTCCTTTGACATTGGGTTCAATTAAAAGGTAGTTTTAAAATAGTATCTTTTTTTCAACTAAAAAGCAGCTTTAAAATAGTCTATTTCTGTAATAAAAGAAAGGACTAAGTCATTTGTCACTCACCCTTCGAGATGACCTACTTTTTCTCGATTTTATAACTTTCAAAACTACAATCCCTAGAATCAGAAAAAGACATGATAAAAAATAATGGAAAAAATGTACTGACAAAAAAGAAAGAAAGAAAGATCGATTAAAAGAAGCTAGAAAACTTTAAGCTGACTAAATCAGATCAATTTTAGAGCAAAAAGATTGTAAAATAAAAAATGAAAGTCTTATAGGGCCTTTTATATAGCCAACATAAAGATTAAATGAACATCTTTCATATTCTTAACATTAGGTTTTTTACTATCCAATTTCCTTTTTCCTCATTAAATGTAACTTTTAGATAACAAAAGGGTAAATCGATTATTCCACTTACTCAAATCGATCAAATCAATTAGAAATCTAAGTCAAACCTGTCAAATTAGTTAAACACCAGGTCAACCTTGTGCTAAACTAGAAAATCAAATTTCGACACTAAGAAAAAACATAAGTCTCATAATGGTCCACACTATTTCAGATAAATAAAATATTGTTGGTAATTATTCACAAGCTCACTTAGTCTAACCTTTGTCCATAACACCGGTCACTTACCTTGATAACCTCAGAACGAACCAATTAAGTATATAATTCAAAACCAATGCTCATGATCATCGAGCACACTTCAAGTTGGTATCTACCAGATTAACCAAGTCTACACTCAACAGTTTGATACTCAAACTGCATGGTGGAGGACATAATGTTAAGAGTATTTTTGGGTCCAAAGGGTAAAATAGTTTTTTCCCTCATTAGAGACTGTTAATAGACAATTAGAGGCATTTTCAACTTTTAAGCTAACTTGACATGTACAATGCCACTCTAACTTAGCCATGTCACCAATTTACCCTGCAAACCCCTCACTTTTCATATATAAATAGGGTCATCTAGGTACTATTTAATCATCTTACTTTCTTATACTTTTTCTTTATTTTACTATTCTTCTGACCTCTTATAGTCAACTTTTAACTTGAACGTCAGAGTACAAATGCAGGGAACACTCCCTATCTTTGCTCTTAATTGGTATCTTTTTCTCTCTTATGATTTTAGGGTTTTACCCTTCAGCTCGGAGTTTGAAGTTCAACATAAACAAAATGGAAGTGAAATTTTCTAGGTTCATTTCAACTTTCAAGCTTAAAGTTTCAAAAAGACAAGCCATAGGTGGGACAATTAGCTGATGTGGTTTGTTAATATCTTTTTTCATGATTAATTTATTCTTTTTTTTTTATAAATTTTAGATTTGGTCAAAAAAAGCAACAAACATATCATCGTTATGGCTCTATAAAACCTCCAAGTCTGTTGGTTTGTAAAATTTGTGTTTCTAAACTTGTTATTAAGTTATTAAATATGGATTTTTGTGATTTTTTTTCTTTTTTTAGGTGAAGGAATCAAAATATGTGTTTGATTCAAAAACCATACAAAGAATGGAACTTTTGGTGTTGTAAACTTTGGAATAAAGGATGAACCCTATCACTATAATTTCCTTCATTAATCATATTACAATGAGGCTTGGACTGATGATTCATTTGTTTTGAGAGTTCCTCCGTTTCTTATCTCATTGCTTGTAAGTATTTAAAACAAGTTGTGAGAGTGAAGGGAAAAGGAAATGGGAGAAGATGAAAATATTATGTGAGCAAATAACTTATGGGAATGTTGGTGTGAAAATTTACATGGTAGCTAGAATAAATTTTTTTAGTTAATTAGAGGTTAAAATAGTAAAAAAATTTTATATTTTGTTATTTTATTTAGATAAATTTTTATATTTTTATTGTAACAAATGAGTTATTATATTTTAATTTTACTTAAATAAATCCTTAATTTTTAATTTGTGTTAAAATAAGCCTTTAACATAAATCAATATTTTATTTGAAACAAAAATATATTTGGATACAAATTAAAATATAAGAATTTATTTGAGTATAATAAAAATATAAAGATTTAACTAAATAAAGTGATAAAATTCGAAATTCTTTTAATAGTTAAATCTTAATTAAATGACAAATGTTAATATGATTAAATTTGAAATATTTAATAAACTTTTGTAACTTAAACGAGATAAATTAAAGTTTAATGATATAATTGAGAAAATGGCTTAAGTTACAGTAAATTTTACTCTCCTTCCCGACCTTTATAAAAAGCAAAGAGGCCCATAGATGGAAAAGGCAATGATAAGTTGACTCATGTGACTTGACTCGAAACAACTTCTCCTGCAAGGAGTAGATACGGACACAACTGTCGAAAAAGCGGGGAGGGATATCCGTGCAGGGTTGAGAACAATCCCTGAGGGGTATTCCAGTAATTGCAGTAGCCCGACATTTTTTTACAGCAACAGTAATTCAGTGGCGTAAGTTATCAATTTTGGGTGCGTTTAAGACCGCTCATTTCCTTTGGCCGCAAAATTTGTACGGTCATCTCTAATTTATTTTTAAAAAAATTTCAATTAAATCTAATTAGAAAAACTGAGAAAAAGAAAAAGAAATATTGGCCAAAGAAGAAAATAAGAAGAAACTTTTTTGATAAGTAAAAAAATATATATAACTATAAATATATATAGAGAGTAGAAAGAGAAAGAAAGATATATTAAAAAAACAAAAATTTCATTTCCTTTTTCTTCTCAGCGTGTCTGCATAATATTAGGGTTTCTTTTCTTTTTCTTTTTTGGATCTTCATTCCTTCATCATCAGATTTCAGGCTTCTCTTATTCTCAGGTTTCCATCATTCTCTCCGTGGATATGTAATTACTTAAATTTATCTATGCATTTGAATTGTTATGAGTTGTTGCATTTTCTTTTTGTGGTTGTTAGTCTTAGCAGATCAATTTTTGTTTCTTTTTTCCTTTCTTTTGTTTTTGAGATTTTTTTTGATTATGTGACAGAAAGGCAATTTTTTTTTTGCCAATAAAAATTGGAATAAATTGATTTTTTTTCTTATATTAATTTTCGGGTTTATATTCTATTTCTTCGAGCTACCAAATAGAGCCAGCTGATTGTTTACATCGACATGCTGCATTTGGGTGACTAATGATGTAAGATTTGATATCATTTTTTGTTTTGATGATTTTTTTTAATTCCCTTTTTGTGGTTTGATCAGGTTTGACAAATTTCATATTGGAAAGTTATTTTCGTGGATTTTGATGAGGCTTTGAAGTGAATTCTTAAATTTTGATCAAAGGGGTTTTGTTAAAAAATTTGGAATCTTGGTGGTTGTGAATTGTGATGACTACACGAACATCATGGGCAGATTTGGCTGCGAATTCTGCAGCCGAGAATGTAGGTGTTGGTTCTTCTTCTGCTAGCAACGGAGCTGTTGGTTCCACCTCGGGTGCTGGCCGACCTGTTTATGTCCCCCCTCATCTTCGTAATCGTCCACCTTCTGCAGAACCACCTGCTCCTACTTCCAGTGGCCTTACCTCTAGTAATGACAGACCTGGATATGGCGGATCTCGTTGGACTGCTCCTAGGAATGATTATAACAACCGATCAGGACATGGTGGTAGTGGTGGCCGACTTGGTGGATGGGGTGGCAGAAGTGGTGGTTGGAGTCGTGGGAAGGACAGGGAAGTCAATCCATTTGGAAATGATGATGATGCAGAGGAGGCCTTTAGCGAACAAGAGAGTACCGGGATTAACTTTGATGCCTATGAAGACATTCCCGTGGAGACAACTGGTGACAATGTGCCACCACCTGTCAATACTTTTGCAGAGATTGACTTGGGTGAAGTGGTGAATCTAAACATCCGAAGGTGCAAGTATGTGAAGCCGACACCTGTTCAGCGGCATGCTATCCCCATTTCACTTGCAGGACGGGATTTGATGGCTTGTGCACAGACTGGTTCTGGAAAGACGGCTGCCTTTTGTTTTCCAATTATCAGTGGAATTATGAGAGGCCAGGTTCCACAAAGACCTTTACGTGGGGCACGTATAGTATACCCATTAGCGCTTATTCTCTCTCCTACCAGGGAGCTCTCAATGCAAGTGGGTGTCATGTTTTTGGCAATTTAAATCATGTGCTTCTATTTATACCGTGGAATTTATATTTTGTGACTAATATTGCAGATACATGAGGAAGCCAGGAAGTTCTCTTATCAAACAGGTGTTAAGGTGGTTGTTGCTTATGGAGGTGCTCCTATTAACCAACAGGTACTTTTTCTCTCCTTTCCTCTTTCCTTTAATTTTACCCCTCATTATTCCGTTTATACTTTAATTAGCCTCACCTAATATAGTAGTGCAATAATTTTGATGATTCTTATGCATCAACTCCTATATAAGAAAAAAATTGCACCCTAGTTTTTCTGGTCAAAGTGAAACTATCCACTCTTTGGGCAATCAATAACCTTCTATGGCATATTTTTTGAGTTTATTCTTTTGTTTTCAATCGTTTATATGTTCACTCTTAACTATTTAGGATCTAGACAACTGCTCTTTAGGCGTGATAAGTCTTTTGACTTTTCCTGTACCCTCAGGGAGGAGCTTTTTTTTATTTTTTATTTTTTTGGGGGGGGTGGGAGTTGTGCATGGTTGTGGGAATTTGTCTATTCTGCACTTCTCTTGAACATATTTCTTAAACACAAGTTCTGTTAATTTTTCTCTGATGTCTTTTTGCTATTGCTAGCATAAAAGATTTGAAATTCTGGTATGAATTTTGAGCTTGACATTCTGTGTCATCGTTTCTATCTTAAATTGTCTTTTTGAATTATATTTCTGTTACCATAAGTTGATGGTATTCTATTTGAACAGCTGAGGGAGCTGGAGAGAGGTGTTGATATTCTTGTAGCAACCCCTGGAAGATTGGTAGATTTGCTAGAGAGGGCTAGAGTTTCTCTACAGATGATCAGGTACTTGGCCCTTGATGAGGCAGACAGAATGCTGGACATGGGTTTTGAGCCTCAAATAAGAAAAATTGTGGAACAAATGGACATGCCCCCACCTGGTGTTAGACAAACAATGCTATTCAGTGCCACCTTCCCAAGAGAGATCCAGGTTGCTTCTGTCTTTGTAATGAATCATTTATTATTTTACTGCTAGTATTTAAATTTTTGTATAAATTCTTATCAGTTTGCAGTGCTTTACTCATTAGTTATCTCTCTACATTATGAAGTTTTTTATTAGTTTCATATATGGCATGCATATGTACTGTAATACTGATTATTGAAGATTATTCTTTGTTATTCTGGCAGTAATTGTGTTGGAATTTTATTTTCTTTATTGGTTAAAGAGAAAGCACTACAGTTAAAGCCTAAGTTCTTTAGCCAAACCCCAGTCTATTCTTACCACTTGATCTACAACCAAGTTGCTACTACTTTGGAGTGTGTTTATCAAGCATTTTGCTAATTATTTACTCTTTAACTATTGTTGCATGCAGAGACTGGCCTCTGATTTTCTTGCAAATTATATTTTCTTGGCTGTGGGCCGAGTTGGATCAAGTACTGATTTGATTGTCCAGAGAGTAGAACTTGTTCATGAGTCAGACAAAAGAAGTCACCTTATGGACCTTCTTCATGCTCAGAGAACAAATGGTGTCCAGGGCAAGGTACTAATTGATTTGGAGTTGTGTTACTTTATCCTAGGGTTGTTAATGGAAATTCCTGTATGACTCAGTATAGGTCTATTTGTAGATCATTTGTCTACTTTGGTTTTTTGAATTGGACTGTAGTTTCCTTTTTAGATAACCTCTTAATTTTAATCTTGCAGCAAGCCCTTACATTAGTTTTTGTTGAGACAAAAAAGGGAGCTGATTCGCTGGAACATTGGCTGTGCATGAATGGTTTTCCTGCAACTGCCATTCATGGTGATAGAACCCAACAGGTAAATATGCATGTTTTTGTTTGCCTTTTGTATTTGTTATGCATGGTACGTATTTTGAATTGAATTATTAGTCTCATGGATAGAAATGTATTTAAACCCTAAAATATTTGATTGTGGCTTCTATGTTTGCCAATAAAGCTTTATATTTGTAGTTGGGGGATTTGCTGCAGATATGGAAGGGTAGCTTAATTCTGTAAGGTTGGATGGTTTTAACGATAAATAAGTGGCTAAACTTATATAAAACTGTGTAGCCAGGAAGTAAATGTATTGTGGAGATCCATAAGTTGGGAATTTGCATTATCTAGAGTTGAAGGAAAAAAAGGGCTTACCTAGAAAAAAAGGATAACTGTGCAAGTTTCTTGCCTTTCATATTGTTGCAGACACTTTATGTGTTTATAATCATTTAAAAGCTTAAGCTTGCTTATTTTTATCTTCACTTGTGGGTTTTTCCAACCATGTTTCTTTGGCTAGTTTAGAAACTTGGAGGTGGATATGTTTTCTGCACTATAGAATTCTTGCATCATCAATTAACTTGAGGACAGCAAGGCTTTGGGCCAGCCCTTCTTTGAATCTGTAAAATGCCTTTGGTAGGAGAAATGATTGATATTTTGTTGCAAATATGCCTCCTCGAAGATTATCCACATTGATCCCATTGGTATTTATATCTGAGATGTCTTTGGGTTTGTCATGCCTATGTGCATAACTGAGGTGTGGTGGTATTGTCAATAGATTTCCATATTATCCAGTTAGTGTGGACCATCTAGAATGGCAAACTCCTTAAGGTTTTCTTTCAGTTAACACCCAAGGATTCTCTTAGAACAAATTTACATAGTCACTGGAAGTTCAGAACTCCATATGAATTGTAATCTGATTATTCATGCATGAAAATGATGGGTAAAATTTTTATGTTGCTCTAAATTTCTATTGAATCCAAGACATATAGAGTACATGCTCAATTGTATCTGATTTTAATTTCTATCAGTTGCCTTATCAACGAAGAAATCATTATTAATTTTGCCTATAACCCAATGAAAAATATAGTTTCATTCTGGCAAACTTTTTTGATTCCTATAGTAGTTGCCAAGATCCTTCAGAAGCTTCTGAGGGGATGACTTATATTTTCCTTGATATTTTGGTTTGTATCCACAGCTTTGTTGCATTAAAGTCCCTGTTACAATTATTTTTTCCTTTTTTCTAAGAAATTTAAGTTTCCATTTTTGGGAAATTTTTGCTGGTGGGATGCTTAATTATCTTGTTTCCTGCTCTTATTGGAATTTCCTTGTTGCTTTTGCCCTACATTTTGCCTAAAAGTGAATAACCTATGCCTTTATAATGACCTTGTTGCTAGAAACTGTTATGCTTCATCATTGTACCTTTGAATGACTATTTTAGTTTCTTTTTCCTTTTTGACATCTCACTGAGGGCACTTATAGAAGACTTGTTTGGTTGTTGATGATTTTATATTCTCACAAGTGTAACACTTGAATCTTTCTTAAATTACTATTTCTTTTGTACCATCTAAAATGCATGAACAACATGATTGGTTCTATGAATGGAATAGAGGGAAGCAAAATATTTATTCCATGGCAATAGAATAGAGAAGGAATGGATAGAATAGCTAAAGTTTGGTTTATTGGAATAAATATTAATATGTTTGGTTAACTCAAAGAATAAGGTTGGAATGAATGTAATGGACTAATTTACCCTTTTATAAAATTAAACATAATTTATTATAATAATCATAATTAATTAATAAATTATTATTTTCATAAAAATTGAATATTTTTATAACTATAATTTTTTTATTTTCCTTTCCCTTTTTTTTATCTTGTTCTTTTTTCTTCTCTTTTTCTTTTCTTTTTCATCTTACTAGCTGGCCATATCTTGTCATCAACCACCAAAAGCAGTCACAGGGACGTTGTTCTAGCGCTCCCAGGCAGCCAGATCTGACTGCAGGGGCATTGTATTGGTGCTCTCAACGGCCTGATGAGGCTGCAGGGGCACTGTTTTGAGGCTTCAAAGTGCCGAGAAATCTCATCCTTCGCTGAAGGTAGCAATGCCAATGAAACTTTTTGGCAAAGTTCTCTCTCTATATCACTCTATCTAAGGGTAATATCATGATTTTATTAAATATGGGAAAAATCATCCACAGCAGTGTTTTGTATTCCTTGTGGTGTGGAATGGCCTATCCCAAGGTAAAATAAACAATGGCTATACCGATCAAACTAGGAATAACTCCTTTGACTGGAATGACTATTCTTCCCTAATTTGTGAACCAAACTATGGAATAAAGGTCTATTTGGAATTAGGTTGGAATAAGACCAGAATGGAATAGCCATTCCGTCCAACCAAATGTGATGTAGCAGTTGAGTTTTTAGTTATTATGAAGCCAATTTTGGGATTTTTATATGGTGATTCAGTTACATTGTTGCATGATGAAATGAGTGCATATGTCCTTTGTTCCAAATAAAGGCCTATTTGGAATTATGCATTTTATGCAAGTAGAGCAACTGAGTGGTTACTTATGCATTATTGAAGCAAAATTTTGAGATTGTTTTTCTAGCATTGTGCTTCATATGGTTAATGGCAAATCTCTATGTATCCTTTTCTTCCTGTTGCGTCCAACCTAATATTTGTCAACCCTATCAGCTTTGGTGGTACTTTGAGTTATGTGTTTTATGTGGCCAAGCTTAAAGTGTTTAAAGTAGATTATTTTGCTTTATATATAATATTTAGAGTATAGGTGGCTTCTCTATGCTGGATTTTACCAACAAGGAGCTGAATCGAGGACTTTGCTTAACATTTGGGTGTATAATACTGGGTGTCAGAATATCAAGAGATGAGCATGCTTATGTTATTTCTGGTGTCTTATAGTCTTCCTTAATAAACTTGAGAGCGACAATGGTCGGACATCAGTAATGAAAGTTAAATTATAATTTTTTTTTTTTTTGCTGAACAATTATTCTGCTGCGTGCCTATATAATTAAAGATCAAATATAATCTAAACATTAATGGATGCTGTCATTTTAGTATTTTCTTTAGTCTTACCATATGGGCAAAAGAAAATTCCTTGTTTTATTTGTTCTATATTTATCTATATAGAAGCTGAATAATCACCTTAGGGGCCACAGCAGCATATCTGTGGGATATTTGGCGTTACTAGGATATAGGAGTGCACTGAAGCCAGGGACCGTGTGAAAACCAGAGTAGTATCTACATTGGATGAAAATAATATATAAAACAAGTCTTGCTTTGTGTTATTTATTTGCAACTTACTGCATTTTACCTGTTGCCTGTATATGTTAATTTGTGTTAATCTGGTACATTAGATGAGGCATAGTTATACCATTTCTAAGAAGTGAGAGTACTTTGAACGAGAAGTTGAGCAAATTGCATAGCCATTAGCTTATTGTTGGGAGTTGGAGCATAATTCTCAGTAAATTCATCGTAAGTGCTTTTGGTGTTTTTCCCTTTTTTATGTCACTTTATCCCCCATTTAGATTCCTTTTTTTCCCGTCTTATGCACATGGTCCTTAATTACCCATTTTTAAATGCTTCTGGTGTTTTTGCCTTTTTTCTTATGGCTGGAGGTCATTTTATCCCCCTTTTAGATTCCTGCTTTTTCCTCTCTAATGCATATGGTCCTTAATTATCCATTGGTTTACTAGTGGTCACTATTCTATTCTTGGTGTAATTTCTAAGCAATGCTATTTTCACACTTGATTTGGTATTTATTCTTGCTGGAGCTTATGCGGAACCTTTTTCTAGGGACTCCGGACTAATATATCATCTCTGTTAATGAATGTTAATCACTAAGATATCTGTTAACGGATGCCAAGAATTACATATTAATTGTCAAGTAATGCATTGATATGCAAATGAGTGTTGTCTCAAGTATGCATATGGTAGCAGTTGGATTTCTCCATGAAAGCAGATTTCTAATAATGATGTGGGCCTATATTCCAATTTTTTTTTTTCTTGGAGTTTAGGTTTTGAAGAATATAAGTCCTTGAAAAATAAAATGGATGGATCGCTTTCTATATCCTTTTTATCTATACCTTTGGGTTTGAAGTAGTCTTGGCTTGCATCAATCGCAGTGTGTCCTTAAGATTTGGCATTCATCATCTTCATCTCTACTGCACCTCTTACGTATTTTGAGCAATTTTTCTCAAATTTTCACGTATAGAATGCTTCCTACTCTTGTAAGGTGAATTATTTTGGCTGTTTGGCCTTACAGTTCTTTACTTGTTGTTAAGATACCCATTTATTGTGTATATTGCAGGAAAGGGAACAAGCATTACGGTCATTTAAAAGTGGTGCTACCCCAATCTTGGTAGCAACTGATGTGGCAGCTCGTGGTCTTGATATTCCTCATGTTGCACATGTGGTGAACTTTGACCTTCCTAATGATATTGATGACTATGTTCATCGAATTGGACGGACAGGGCGTGCAGGCAAAACTGGTTTAGCCACAGCCTTCTTCAATGATAACAATGCTTCTTTGGCAAGGTCATTAGCTGATCTAATGCAAGAAGCCAATCAAGAGGTGCCTGCATGGCTCACTCGATATGCAGCTCGTTCATTTGGTGGGAGGAATCGTCGTCCAGGAGGAGGCCGATTTGGTGGGCGTGATTTTCGAAGGGAGTCATCTTTCAACAGGGGTGGTTCTGATTACTATGGTGGGGGCAACAGTGCAGGTGGATATGGTGTGGGCTACGGTGCAGGTATTGCCAGTGCATGGGATTGAATACTCTCATTTTTTTTAGTACTTTTGAGTTTCTAATAGTAGCAGAGCTTCCCTTTCTTTCAAAAAAGAACAATTTTTTTTTTTTTTGGTTTACTTATCTTTTGCTAGTAATCTTAGTGATTGGCCTTTTATACTTTAGGAGGGTTTTATGACTATTACAAGGAAGGGAGGGGGGTTGTAAGTTTGGTGTCGATGTCGAAGGAGTAGAAGTTGTGTATTGTGTTAGTAGGTATTGGTGAAGAAATTGTAACCAAAAATAGGGATTGCTTCTTCCTCCTCATTTGCTGCCATCTTGTGATTGTTTACTGGTAATTTTGTTAAGTGATGGGTTCTAGAATATGTAGTGGGAGAGAGAGAAAGGGGGGGGGGGGGTGGTCGGTTTTGGCAACGTCTTTGATCTCATTGGCATGTTTGCTCTTGACCCAGAATTGTGGGGATGAATTGTTTAGACTTGAGAGGCTCTGTCTTACCATTTACGAATCTATTCCCCTTTAAAAGGAGTTGGAAGACTTTTTTTATATATTTTTGTGGTAACTGAAATAAGAAGGAAGCTTTGATGGAAATGAATTACTTTTCTGTACCGGCAAATTGGTGATTTGGAATGGTTAAATGTTGTATACTTCATTCTTCATCATTTGTCATATAGCTGTTGCTTTAGTATTAGTTGTACTCTAATGGTATCATTGTGAAAACGAATAATCTTACGAATGATCTTATATTGAATAATGATCTTATTGAAATGTTTAATGTGATATTTGAATTTAAAAAATTTTTAATGTGACATTTAAACTATAAGTATGTTAATTAATATGATATTTGGAGGGTTGGTTGTATGTCATGTAATACTCATATAGAGTTAGCTGTATTAGGAGTGAGAAGTATAATATTGGTAGAAAGAGATATTTAGGATTTGCATTTAGTTTTATGAATAGAGGACTTGTGTATTTCTCATTGAGGCTCTCAATTTCTTTCTATGAATTAGAGAGTATGTATATTTGTCGTTGAGTAGTAAGTCAAACTTTTTTTAAGCTAGAGATACCGTTCTTTTTATTTTTTTTGGTTATTATTCTTTCTCCGGCTACAAATATTTTATACAAGCATGTGGTATTATTGAAACCTTGTAGGGAATAAGAGAAAACATATTGATTTCATGTATTTCAATCATAGAAAAGCAATTGTGAATTTGTTTTTTCTTTTTGAGAAGAAATTTCAAAACAAAAATACTATTGAATTCCATTGAGCAGACAGTGAGAATCACGTCAAAAGTGGGTGATGAAAATTCTAATCCAATAAGAAAAATACTATTAATATCACAATATACATAACATATAGTTATTGGTTCAAAATTTTTGGATCCTAATTATTAAAAAATATTTACGTTTTCTAATTAAATAACTTAAAAAAAAAAAAGAAGCTATGTTTTAAAGAAGGAAAAAATTGTATACTTCTTTCCTAGAACAAAAAAAATTGTTTTTTTTTTAGTTAATTACATTTTTATTGGAACTTTGGGTAAACATATAAATTGGTATTTAAAAAAATAAAATGTATCATATTAATTTAAACTCTAATCTTTTTAATCGACAAACATTACTTATCATATATATTGTCAACATATTTTTTCAATATAAATTAAACATAAATATAATTTTACTTGAATTGTAAAAGTTATTTAAGATTGATCTTTTTTTTTTTCATCATGTGACATTCACACGAAATTTTTATAAAATATTTAATTTTTTATTTAACAAATAATATGTATATAGTAAAATTATACTAGTTAGATATTATATAGATAAATTAAATTAACAATATTAAAATTTGAATTAAAATAATATATCATTTGATAATTTAGAGTGTAAATTATTTATTTTATTTCTTTACGAATCAATTTATATATTTTTTTCAAAATTAAAGTAAAAAAGCGTAATTAGCTTTTTTTTTTACCTAAATTAACACTGATTAAATTATTCCATAAAATTGTATAGTAAAAATAGTCACTATCATTAACTTTTTAGTAACAATTTTAGTCAATTACCAAATTTTTAAATGCTTTATTAGTTGAAATATCACATAACCTTTTTTCAAGGTTCAGATAATAATTTCAACATTTGATTTTTGTTCAAGTATCATTTTTTTTCGTTAACTCAATTAAAATAAACTGAAATTGGAAAAGTAACATTTGACCCATATTCCAAAATTTTTGTATTCGTTCGAAATTAAATTATAATCAATTGATTCAAAAAAGTCAATAATCATCCAAATAATTTAAACTTAAATTGAAACGATGGGAATTTATGTGGATTAGAAATGATCCGATCAAACGACCTATTGAGGAAAATTTGCTACGATTCTTATGCCTTCCATTTTCCATGCATCACCTAATAAGACAAAGTCAGCAAACTAAAAGGAAACAAGAGATAAAAAAAATTTCATGTGCAAAATAGACAACCAATGAGAGAAGCAAAGAGGGACAGAGAGAGACTGAACAAATGGTTTTGTAAAAAAAATTAGTTGAAGAAATTATAAAAAAAGATTAAGAAAAATATTAAAATACATATAAAATTAAGGATATTTATATTTTTCAGATTTTTATTTAAAAATTTTAAAAATTATGTAATTTTAAAGAAAATTTAACTTCTGTTTTTGAAATTTTCTTTTTAAAGAAAAATAAACTCACATAATTAGTGTGCCAAATTCGAGTTATATGCAATGTTCTTAACTAAATTAAGTGTCACAAAATCAATTGATGTTAATTTAATTGATGATTTTGTCTAAAAATTAAATATAGTAACAAGAATAAATATAAAGGGAGTGATGAACTGACATCAGTGTGAAATTTAACAAATTTATATTTTTTTAAATTATTGATTTCAATATATTCATGGGATTAGAATGATAAGTGAAAAAGAAAAAGAAATAGTTTAATCACATTCTTTAAATCTATTAAAATCAAGAGTTAAAAAAAATCATAAAATTTTTTTTATGCAAGTTGATTACTTCTCTAAATATAAATATAAATAAGAGATATATTTGTCATTTTTTTTTTGGTAAATACACCAATAGTTACCTAATTATATAGGTTTTTTTCAAAATGGTCATCAAACTATTAAAATTTTCGATCCAATCATTAACGTTTGAATATAAATTTTTTGTCACTTAATCATTAGTTTCTAATGACATATTGATATGACATTACTACGTTAGCTGTCAAGTACCATGTTAACTGACCATGCATAAAAATCAAATTTTCTTATCTTTTTTCACTTTTTCCTTTTTCCCTTCTTGTTCCTCCCCATTCTTTTTGCCTTCTCTCTAGTTTTTCTCTATAAAACCCAGTAACAACCATTGTTTTTCTAGTTCCTTCCCATTATCTCTCCCTTCTCTCTAGTTTCAATTTTTTATTAAAATGTGATAGGTTTGTTTGTTTAGTTTAAAATTTTGAGTTTTGTTGGCTATTTTGAGTCAAGGTTTTGCTTTTAAAGTTGTTCAATGAAAAGGTTCCACTTTTGGGTTTGTTGTCTTATTGGCTTCTTTAATTTAGTATTGAAGAATTTTTTTTATTATACGTAAGGCCTAAAAAGGTTTTGGATTTGGGGTTTATCTTTCAACTTTTGTTTTTGTCTCATTTTCTAGAGGTTGTGGTTGATTTGAAGTTTTTTGCTAAAAAATTCAAAACTTTTAGTTTTTGACTATTGAATTTAAGAATTTTGATTTCTTAATTGTAGGCTGTCTTAAGGTTTAACTTAATAATGATCTGTGTGAAAGTTCTTATTTCAACTTAGGAAAGGTTTTAGGTTTGTGGCTTGGGTTCTTAGTAACATAAAGGTTAATAATTTGGCTTTAATTTTAATTTTTCATATACTAGGGTTTTGATTGATAAATTCGCATTTTAGTTTCTAATTATGTTTTTGAGTTGGAAATTGCTTCCTAGTGTTAGCCTTGAGTTCTATTTGGTTAAATTTTGAAGCTTTCTGTTTTAGGAATTGGTTTAAAAGAAAATTTACTAGAAAACCCAACATATTTTTATCACAAATAATTGTTTTTTTTAATTTTTAATGATATGTCACATGGCATTTTTTATGATATAAACATGTCATATGGTTATTGACCTCATACATGGTGTGCTTAGTCAATATTCTCTTAAAGATTAACTATTAGATGATAAAAAAATTTTATTCAAACATTAGTGACTAAATGAAAAAATTTAATAATTTTATGACCATTTTAAAAAAGACCTATATAATTTAGTGACTGTTTGTATGTTTTATCTTTTTATAAAATTACTTTTTTAATATAAGACACATTTTCTTTTTTTAAAAAAACTATCACATCTTTTAAAACATAGTTTTTTGTTTCAAAATATACATCAACATAGTGAATGATCCAATTTAGTATGATAATAAACTTTTACTATGAAACTAAAACCCTTTCTTATTAAAGTGAAAAAAATGATGAAGGTATGTATTTTTTTTTTTAATTTAAAAAAAAAAGAAATTTGAATCCTATTTTTGCACTATATATTCAACTTCATTTTATCCATGCATTTATTTATCTAAAAGGAATTAATTGTTAAGGAATTTTATGGTCATAAAAGCAGTATGGATTTTTTTCTTTAAGGATAACTTATCAACAAATTAAAAGTAATTTGTCATTCAAACTCGAGTTGATGTGGTGGGCTGACCTAAAATCTCGAAGTCTGTGTTAGCTTGACTTGCCCTACTTTCCACCTAAAGGTACATGAAAATACTAAATTGTCACCCCTAAATTGGATTGTCACTTGCTAGATTATGTCAGACTAGCATTGTCACTTATAAACCTAACTTTCAAAGCTTGGGTTCCCAAATTCGACACTTTCACCTTATAAGTATAAATAGCCCCCTTACACCAAACATTGACATTCAACTTCCTTCTCTTTCTTTTCAAGATTTCTCTCTCCCTTATTCCCAAGCATTGCCTTAAGCATTGGAGCACAAATGCTAGAGAAACTTCAGGCTTTTGCTTCTAACCGACTTCTAACCTTGTGATTTCAGGTTTTTGGCTTTGTAAAATAGTTTTACACAAACATTTTAACATGTCAGGTAGGCGGCATTTTCTTTTTAGTTGAATTAATCATGCTTCACAACAAAAGAGTTATAGAAGAAGGAGATAACATTGTTGCAACTAGAACTAACACCTAGTTCAATCTACCAAAACAAGATTGACTTATACAAACAACCCGAACCATGGAACAATTCAAAACTCTCACCCAATAACTACAATCACCTAAAGAATTGATCCAAAATCTAACCCTTTACATAACTCAAAAAAACCAATCCTTACAGCACCTAAAAACCCACAAACATAGAAGCTACCGATCTATGATGATGGTGCTGTCTTGTCAGTCCCTGAAGATGAAGAAACCCCTAGAAGCTATTACCCTATAAATACTTGAACATAAACCACCCAAAAATGCAAATAAGTTACCTTAAAACTGTAACTCAATAGGTACTTAAAAGCTTGGATGGAGGCAATGGATAAAGAACTAAAAAATGCTCCAAACAAGCCCCCACCTTTGATAATGTGCTCAAGTTTTTGGAAATTCTCTTTTTATCGAAGACATTGATTGAGGTCTACCACCAAAGAGATTCAAAATGCCCACTTTTGAAACTTATAATGGTACCACTATCCTTTTAATCATCTTAAACTTTATAACATGCTAATATAGAAAGATGATGAGCTCTTCATGTGCAAAAGACTTGCCACAACCTTCAAAAGGGTAATCATTCATGGTACATTAGCTTAGAACTTAGATTAGCTTCAACATTTAAATAATTTGGTCATTCTTTTTTAATAACCGATAAACAAAAAAGACTACATTGAGTCTAATGTTCATATTTCAATACACAATGAATCTTTGAAAGAGTATGTTACACGTTTTAATGCTAAAACTCTTTAAGTCAAAACTTGAAGCAAACTGTAATTGTGGACATCCTAACAAGTGGGCTGA